TTACATTTTCATGATGGCAGGCAAGAGCAGAGGTGAAATCCTCTGTGATTGTGAAATAGCTGGACAAGGCATATGGGTCCGAGGGAGGGGGAGGAATTCAAAATTAATTTGTAAGTAATTGTAAGTAATTTGTGTGTGTGCGTGTGTGTGTGCACGTGTGTTTGTTTCTTCACTCAGAGGGAAGGGGGTAGGAGAGGCAGGGAGGGCAGCCCACCAGCTTTCTTTCTCTATGTTGGGGCAACCCTCCAGCAGAGGCGGGTCTTTTACCCGTCTCTGCTGGCGGGCTGGCGCTTTCTTTCTTTTGCCGCAAAAGAAAGAAGGTGGATTTTGCCCACCCCGCCGCTATGTCTGACTCCGACATAGAGCCGGGACGCCTCTATGTTGGACATAGCGGCAGGGCGGGCAAAATCCGCTTTCTTTCTTTTTGCCTCACCAGCCATAAACCTCACCGCATGTCACTGCTGTGTCTCTATTGGTCAAGATTCATGTAGAAACACTCAATCTATGAGTCTGATCCTTTAAGGATAGTGCAACCTTCTCCATAACGGATTGAATGCTCACTCTATTGTGTCTGGCTTGGGTTTCATTGCATTGCTTCATCCAATCCCTAACCAATCAGGCACATATTAAGCACTTCTGTTACCTAGTTTCATGGATCAGATAAATACATTATAGAAAGTGGGTTGTGAGACCCACCTAAAATGAAAATCTTTTCTTGGCTTCTGGAACTGAGAGACAAACCAATGTTGCATCATTCATATAAACTGTAGAGAAGCAAAAGTTCTTATTATATAGTTGTACTTTTATCCTACAACATATTACCTGGAACATCCAGAGTGGTTCTCCTATCTGGGAATCTTCTAGGAGTTGAGGTCCATATGTAGGGAGGGCCATGGGGTGGGAAGGCCTATTCTATTGCAAGTTGAATAACATAGTGCTTCATTCACTTTGGCATATGCTTACACAACTTTGCAGAGTAAAAAAAGAACCTCAGGTGTGCAAATATTTGAATGCTATAGATGTGTATAATTCAAATTATTTAGAATTGGAGATCAGCACAAAATAGAACCAGATTTTTTTTTAAAAAAGAAAGGAAAAAGAAAGGTCAGTCAAGTTATGTTTGATGTTAGTTGTTGCCTCGTTTTAACTGCAGCGACAATAAATTTGGCTACTGTGTAGGTGGTTTCATGCTTTCAGCCTAAGAATAAAAGGCGGGTGTAAATGTCATCTCTTCTCTCAGGTGCACTTAGTAAAAGAAGGGTCATGATATCCTTTCAAAGATCCTTAAGAAAGTTACAATTATTGGCTTATGTACAATGGCCGGAAAAATAGGAGTATTTATACATTATTTGGTGACAGTCTATGTAATGCATATAACTTCTTTGTTTTCGGAATCAAAATGTCCCAGGATAGATTTCATCTTGGGAATATTTTTATTTTTACATTGATAAGATTCTTTCATAGTTTTGTCTGTGTTGTGTGTTAAAGCCTCTTTGAGACTTTAAAGACTTGTAAACTAAAACAAAAATCTGGAGAAGTTCATTTTGAGCAAGTGGATAAACAGAATATTATAATCAAAAACTAAAATCACAGCATCTTCTTGTAAGGTCAGTTTCATTTATCCTGGGAATAGCTGTTGCTTTCAATAGCAGCAACTATTTTTCGATGTTAAAAGTGTACATAATTTTTTTCCCTCTTGAATGTAACAATGTGTGATGTGGTGAGAAAGCATCAACTTAAAAGGCTATGCTCAAAATTTATCAAGAGCATGACATCATGGTGTCTTATGCTCACTTCTATTTCCTGCAGTAAATAATGTAGAGTATGGAAATAATAATTAAGGGGTGTTTATAAGTCTGCATGATTTGGTGATTTTGAACTTTATAGTTTATGAATGAGTAGCATGGTGGCCTATTGGTAGAGACACTCCCCCCCCCCCACTCAGAAGGTTGAAAGATGAATCTTTGGTAGCAGCAGATGTTTGTCTTTTAGGGCACAAAGAAAATATATTTGCTGCAAGCTCCACATGGTGTCAGGAAGGGCATCTGGTGAGCAAACGCTCAGCTTCATTCCATCACCCAGTCTCTACCCTGAATTAAGGGATTACAGGGTCCTAAAAAGGGAATTCTATAATTTATGAAACTTGGAATTTCTATATTGGAATATTCATTATCAATGGTGTGATATAGTGACTTAGTGTATTACAGTAGGACTAGAAAAACTTACTGCATGTTATTTGCTCAGTCACTGTGTCTGAGTTTACCTAAAGTCTTAAGTTCTTACAGAGCTGTAAGAATAAAAACAGGAAGAGGGGAGAAAATGCCATGTCCATTGGAAAGATGGTTTTACTGAAGGAAGTGCAGAATAAGGGCTGAAGTTTTTGGATACATGTTGATTGATAACATTGCTTTAAAAATTCTTGAAAGTAATCCATCCTATCCATTTTCATGTAACTCACCACTCTTGGACAGAAAACTCCAGAGAAGATATCAAGAAATTGGAACTACTTTACTGTACAAACGTGAAAATCATTTCTGCACAGAAAAAAAAATCACCCCAAATCACGTAGATAAATCTTGTGTATTTCATTCCAGGCTTTTTTTTTACTGTTTTGTTTAGGAAAAATGAGCAGATATTTACTGAGCATTGTTTTCAGCTGTAGAATGTTCAGCTATAATTTGACTATTTGCAGTTGTCCCTTGGATAATGGCCATTTATGAGTCTAGCTTTCATAAACACACAATAATTTTCAAATCTAATGACTGCTGTAATATCATCTGGAGATGGATTCTAATTAAGCTGATGTATTATATGCAAAAGCTAGGAAACACATACTGAGATTCATGATGTAGTTGTCCAACAAGAGCACAATTTCGGAACAGTTTTAGGAATTCGATAATATCCCTTGTCATCAGTTGAGCATTCCAGAATGCATGCAAAGATGGCATAGTTTTGGCAGTGGTATATAATGTTTGCTTCTAGAATTCCATATTAGGAAGAATTAAGCCAAAAACAAGTTGTTGCCTTCTCATTTTTGACTGGCATTTGATTTGCATACATTTCCACTGTTGTCCTTAAGCTTCTTTGTTTCTTCATCCAAAGGATCATTTGACTTGACTTCCAAGAGCCTTTCCTTTTAGGAATGGAGTTTGCTAACGCAGCCACAGAAACAACTGTAAAGATTTTTGTTATTGTTATCTGACCCTGTGTTTGATGAGATCATTCTTGTGTCTCAGTGGTAACATGAGCTTCGACTGCTTAAAAGCAGCAGTTCCCCCTAATTAACTATTGAGCTGGGGACCTACCACTACTTCCCTTTGAAAAGAAAGAATGGGATGGAGACCAGAAAGAAGAATTTTGGCTTATTCCTTCAGGCTTGTGAACATTTGAAGTATCTAGCAACTTCTTTTAGATAATTTCTGATTAATAGATGCAATACAGTAGACTAACTTCCAGGAAGAAGACATAATGGATTTCATTATGTTATGCAGAACTTTTAAAGGGAAGGGAGAAATTCATTCTTCCAGAGATGTTTTTTTTAAATAAATTCATGCAAAGTAAAGCATACATACAAAAATGACAAAGCTACTCACCTATTATTACCGTGTTTCCCCGAAAATACAACAGGGTCTTATTTTCTTTTTACTTACAAAATGTGGCCTTGGGCTTATTATAGGGAGGGCTTATTGTTTTGGGGTTGCCGGGCGGCTGCTCCCTTGCAAACTGGAGCCCAAAGAGCCAGGCACAGCATCAGGGGCAAAGCAGCCATGAGGTGACCAACCTCACGAGCAACCGCCCAGCAAACCCCCTCTTCAGCCGGGCAGAGCACCATTCACTGACCTAGGGGGTATCCCTCAGGCGCCAAGCCACATGGCGCTCTGCCCGCTCCCCAGCTCCTGCGGCTTGGCACATTAGGTATACCCCCTAGGTCAGTGCATGGAGCTCTGCCCGGCTGGAGAAGGGGGTTTGCTGGGCAGTTGCTCGTGAGAGTGGTCACTTCATGGCTGCTTCGCCCATTAGGCTGTGCCTGGCTCTTTGGGAGCCAGTTCGCAAGGAAGCAGCCACCCGGCACCTCCCCCCTCAGGCCAGGCAGAACGCCACTCCCCAAGCTAGGGGTATCCCGAAGGTGCCAAGCAATGTGAGTGCTTTTCTCCCCCCCGGCTCCTGTGGCTTGGCGCCTTCAGGATACCACTATGTCGGTGAGGGCTGCTCTGCCTGGCTGGAGGGGGGGGGTTGCCCAGGGGGTTTATTTTTGGGGGTGGGCTTATTTTTTTTTTTGAATAGCAATAGCAGTAGACTTATATACCGCTTCATAGGNGCATGGCCACTATTCCTTGAAATCAGTCATTTGGGGGAGAGAAGAGAGGCAGGGGGAGGGGCAGGCCAGTAGATGCCTCCAGGGGAAGGGGAAGAAAAAGGATTGGCTGCTTTATAAGATAGCTGAAATTCCTCTGCTCTACTTCTTTCAATTAAATCAAGCAGTGAATGCTTGAAACAGAGGTTCTGTGAATATTCAGGCTGCCAAGAGATAACAAGGGCAGCTGTGGTACAGCTCTAGGGATTGCCTTCCCCTATGCATCCCTGAGGTTTGGTAAAAGATCAGCCAGGGGTTGAGTAGGAGTGCTCCTGCATTGTTTTTTTTGGGGGGGGGGCGGAGGGAGAGAGAGATAGTAGCAGAGAAGGGTCCCTTCTTTGGATGTGAATGCTGGGATAGTTGTGCTGTAAGCTTTTCATCTCACAAAGTTCTCTGCTGCAGTAAGGGGTTAGAGGTTCTCGTGTTGTTGTTTTTTTGGCGCCCCCAAGCCTGTTTTAAATTGGGCTTTAGGTTTAAGACAGTGTAAACATCCCTACTCCACTTTGTTTTATTTGTTTGTTTTCTGGTCGGAGGATAGAAGCTTGCATAAACTGCACTTCCATTTCTGCAAACTCCCTGCGTTGTAAAATGGCTTTCTTGCTAGGACAAAAGTGGATTTCTTCAGCTACAGGTCCCCTTTCTTCCCTTTAAATCTTCTTGCTTTCCTCCTTGGCTGGAGGGGTGACGTTGCTGCTGCTTTTGACAAATGAAGCAGAAGAGAAGGCCAGCCATGTTTGTAAACTATTTAACTGTTATCTCCTCTACTGAGGGAAACTATGTATGTTCCTTTTCCTTTCTTTCTTATTGGGGGTACTACATATTTTTAAACGTGCCTTCTTAGTGGGCAAGAGCTCATCGCCTGTGCCAAATGTGCGTTTTGCAACATGCCTCTCTCATTTTGGGAGGCAGTGGGGATGTCGTGTGTGTAAAATTAGCACTGCCTCGTTAGGCCTTTTCAGGCTAATTCAGAGTGAAATGCTCTAGCAGCAGTGGGCTGATTCTATCAGGAGAACAAGGACTAATTAAATTCACTCTGACCATCAAGCAGTAAATTATTTATATCCAGACAGATGCAATCTAATCTCTAGCATCCAACCCAGCCCCCCACCTTCCTCTCTTTCCGAAAGGGAGGAGGAGAGGTTATAAAAAAGGTGGATTAAAAAAGAGGGAAAATAGAAGAGGACCGATGATAAAGCTAGGATGGAAAAAGAATTCAGCAAGCACCCTTATTTCCCCTCTCGCCTTTCTTCTGAGCCTTAAGTAAGAATGAGAGTGAACCGCACTTTTGCTCACGAGGTGCACAATACAAATGGGCATGCAATCTGAATAAGGATTAATTGGTAGATAATCAACTAAATTTTTAGCTCAAGGATGGAGAAGGTGTAGCCGCTGATGCTGCATATGAATGGTAAGGATACTTCCCCATTGGCTGTGCTGTCTAAGGTTCTTAGGAATTGTTGCTCGATGACCTTTGACTGACCACAGGCTTCCCGCTTTTGCTTTAGGTGATGGTTGAATAAAGAGCTTAATACGGTGGCAGAAGAGAATTCAAGGGCAACCTCTTTAAAGTTTGTTTTGGTTCTGCTACGTAGCAGAGTTCCCCTTTTCCTTCAAAAAAAATGTGGGTAATAACTCTTATTGCATTGCAGATTAGCTTATACCTTTAGTTTCTCACAGCTATTGATTTCCATGAAGCAAACAGTTACTTGAGTTTCATCAGTTAATTAACTGGATATTTATGTATATGTGTTGTTTTTAAAAAGATAGGTTACTTTGCCTGGTGCCTGGTAAAGAATATGCAGAATATGCCTTACTGGGAATACATTCAACCACTGAAGACAGATTACCATTAAAAAAGAAAAAAAACCCTACTCCCAGGCAGCTGTTTACTGCTCCACAGCATGGGTGGGCTAAGCAGACATTCTGATAATCTTAAAGTATTAATTTATTGTATTTACAATGTACTCCTTTTCCCTGGGAAATCAATGTGGCATAAATGAACTACCCATGTAGTGTCCAAAGATATTGAATGAGGTATTTTGTTTCATATACCACGTTCTCAAGCTGTAACGTTTTCATAGATTGGTTCTACTACCTAGAACTGGACTGTAAATTAACTGGAAACCGGTGAAGAAAATCAATGTAAAACTGATATAATATGGTCTCTATGCTCCACTCAAGTCAGTAGTGCTGCTGCCAGGCTTTGTACTGTCTAAAATTTCCATAACATCCTCCAAGACAGCCCAGCTATAAGGAACTCCAGTTATCTAGATGGATGACTGAATCTGGCTTAATTCTACTGATGAAGGGCACGAGTGATACACTCAGCTATGGTGGTGAAAGGTATTTCATGTTGCAGAGGGTACCTGTGTCTCAGTGACATGCAGGCAGGGGAGGCAGAGCCTCATCATGAAAAGAAAAAAAATGTAAAAGGAAAAAGGCTGAGGTAGTTGCTGCCAGAGTCACAGTGAATGACTCTGCTTAGTGNTCGTTCCAAAGGGTCGGGGCTACTACTGAGAAGGCCCTCCTCCCTGCAGTTGCCAGCCGGCACTGGCTGGCCGATGGAATTCGGAGGAGGCCCAATCTATGAGATCTAATTGGTCGCAGGGAGGTAATTGGCAGAAGGCGGTCTCTCAAGTATACAAATTATTGTATAAGGAATCTCTGGCATACAAACTCAAAGAGAATACTCTCAGCAAGGATGAAATGCTTAAATGGATGACCAACTACAAATATAATTTTCAGACCGAAAAATATTCAATTACAAAAACCCCAAGTATCTTAGATGGATGCTTATCCATGCAAGAGTGCAACAGTGGTTAATCTGAAAGGTTTAATTGAGTTCACTGTCACCTATACCTCTTTGTGGTTTACCAGAGATAGAGGATATGCTACATGTATTATCTGAGTACCAGTTGTATTGTCCAAAAGGAGATAATTATCTTAGAACACAGACCATTGAAAAATAAAGTTGGAAGGGACCTTAGAAGTCTTCGATTCCAACCCTGGTTGAACCCTATATAAGACAAACAGTTTTTAGGGATCCATATCTCAGAGCAATATATTTATATGTGGTCGGAATACAAATATTAAATATAAAACAACCTCCTTGTTGAATAAAGCAGTGCAATTGGAGCTGCATATGTATGGTATGTCTTATTGAGGTAAATTGTAAGGGATGATAAGAACATATGAGCTAAGTTTGTTTTTTGTTATTTTGCAATGAAGGCTGTATTCAAATATTTTATATTACAGTATGAATTTATGGCTGAACAATAAAATATTGTTGTTGTCACCTAGCAGAATAATTTTTCTCCTTGATTTTCCCCTAAATTAATTTTGTATAAAATAACTAAGCTTGCAATATCTGGTATCATTTACTTTTGTAACTTTTTGAAGTACCCTTAAAGGGAGATTTGCCTTAATCTATAAGTAGTCAACATGTTTAGCAGGCCAATTCCGTAAAGCCACTAAGACCTGGCTGTTCCGGCAGGCCTGGGGCTGTTGATTAGTATCCAGCCCTACTCTAACAGTATGCATGGTATGAAATTTTAATACTTGTATCCTTATTTTTAAATTTTTTAATATATGTTTCTTTTCGTCTTGTCTGTGAGCCGCCCAGAATCCCAATGGGAGTGGGCGGCATACAAATGTTAATAAATCTAAATCTAAATCTAAATTCCTTTATTAAGACAAAATAGTAATGAAGGAACTGGAGTTAACTTAATCAAACTGACTTCTAAACATTGAATAATTTTTTTTAAAAATGAAAGAATACCGGTCATCTATTCATGTAACATGGGGAATATTAGTAGACATGACATACAGTAATTCCGATCAATATCAATAATAATGAGCAATATCAAGAATCTATTAGTTAGCTGTGTTTTGGCAATCTTGAAAAATCGCTGACATTTAGAAAAATATGGCAAGATTACTAGCATTGCCATTTTATTAAAAGTTTCTAGAACATTATATATAACGGCAGCGCCCAACCTTTTGGACACCAGGGACCGGTTACATGGGTGTGGTTTCGTGTGCTGTCTGCATTCCGCGGATGGGACTTTGCTTGTTTGTGCGGTCCGGTTTGTGGCATGTTGCAGCCTGGTGCAGTTCACAGACCGGAGGTTGGGGACTCCTGATATATAACATTATGTAATTCTGTGTTGAACTACTTATTAATGCTTGGTGGTGCATGTCTTTGAATATTTTTTGCAATCTGATATACTTATTTATGACATAGACCAGGGGTGTCAAAACTCGATTTCAATCAGGGCTGCATCAGGATTGTGTTTGTCCTCGGGGGTGGGGTGGGCGTGGCCAGGGTGAGCATGATCAACTTGGTGTCACTTGTGTCGGGGGCGTCTGTGGTGGCCCGAGCGCTCTGGCAGTAAAAATGGGTTTCTGAGCTCTGTTATTGGCTGCAACAGTCTTCTGCAACCCTCTCTGGCAGAGGCACTGTGGGCTAGTCCTTTGCTGTTTCTAGGGTGGCCCCGTGGGCCAGATCTAAGCACCCTGCGGGCCGAATCCTGCCCAAAGGCCTTGAGTTTGACTCCCCTGACATAGACAATTCTGTGTTATTCACATTTACTAATAAGCAATAAACACATTTAAGACTACAGGCATGCAGTCAAATCCACTGCATGTTTATTCACAGATAATTGATAGAATTGTTTTCAGCTAAGTGTTTACAGTACATATATTTTACTTTAACTTCAAATAGTGCTCAGAATTACAGGGCCAGTAACATTTTCTTTTAACTATTCTTATTGGTATATTTCCATGTTTTGTAATCAAATACCTTACTGAATTTTTTTTTAGGGGACTAACATCGATTTTTTTTATGGGACTAATATCAATTCATAAACTTTGGCCTTTGGTTCTATTTGCAACCGTTTAAGTGTAATGGCCACTCTGTTTGAATAGTATGTTTGAAATGCACACAGCCCTGATGTCCTTTATTTTCTGTCTCTCTTGCATATAGGATGTGACTCTGATTGACATTCTCTGGAGACAAGACGTAGATCTTGGAGCAAGGCGTGAAGTTTTTGATTTCAGCCAAAGAAAGAAAGAATATGAACTTGAGAAGCAGAAAAAGCTTGAAAGTGAGAGACAAGAGCAACTTCAGAAAGAGCAAGAAAAGGCCTTTCTTGCCCAGTTGCAGCTGGATGAGGAAACGGGGGAATTTATTCCTATCCAATCAGCTCAAATTGTTGAATCTGGAAATTCTGCCATATCCAACAATTATTCACAGGTATAGCTGTAAACATATAATCCCTTTTGTTTGGAACCTTGTATTCTCTCTTTCGTTCCTTTCACTGTAGTTGCTGCGGGTATCTTCAATGAATCTGCATTTAACACAATCGTAACCTCCTGTCTTTTTTACACAGAGTGTACATATTTCCAAACAAGATGAGGATGATCTGTTCGATGACTACATGCAGATTTTAGCAGAAACATTTTCATTTTCAGACGAGCGTGAGGTAAATATTCACCACTTTGACAATCTTTATGGACTTAACTGCATCTCTTGTTATTTTCCACATTCCTCTTAATATTATAAGCCACAGATTTTATGAAATACATCTTTTCATGCTAATGTTTAAGGTTTCAAGCACAGGTATATCAAAGATCTATTTCATATATTCTAGATTTCCCCAGCTGAATTTCAACAAGGGGCGCCTTCGGAAATGGCTGCCAACCAGGTCTTTGTTGAATCTAACCACTTGCAGCGGCTTGACTCATCTGTACTTCAGTCTACGATTCCAGAGTTATTAGATACAAAAGTGGAGAACACACAAGATATAGAACAAGTGTGGGAAGAACTCCTGTCTATTCCAGAACTGCAGGTAATAATTGCTGTCAGTCCTTGACTATATATTTTGGACAGATATTTTAGTAAAAGGAAAAATCAATGTTAGCATTTTTGTCCTCTCCGATCAATTCTCTCCCACATTGCTCTGCGTAGGATAATTCAGTGGAAGAAAAAAAGTTAGAAACTTCACCAAGTAACTTGGCACTGATTTAATAGCTGTGAAATACTTAATTTACAACCAAGGAGATTTCATTGCAATGCGAATGAAATAGCATTTATTTTCTAGAGAGAATTTGTACTGTAAACTGTACAGTAATTGCATTTGCAATTTGCAAGTAGAATCAAGCTCTAACGTGCATTATAATCCTATAGCTACTTTGCTTAAAAATGTATTGAAAGGCTATTTGGTTATTCATTTTGGTATACCACTTACAGTATAGTAATAGCAATAGCACTTAGACTTCTTTACCGCTTCATAGTGCTTTTACAGCCATCTCTAAACGGTTTACAGAGTCAGCATATTGCCACCCACAATCTAGGTCCTCGTAGGAGCAAGAATTTATAAGCAAAAGACTAATTATTTTATCCCAAGTGCGGGGAAAACAGAAATTTCTCAAACAGAAGTTCATTCTTGAAGAAAGAAATCAGTTAGGTCTACAGTTATTTGCACTGAAAAGTCACATCACTTTTCAGCCCCTCAAAGGGAATGGTTTGGTTCCAGTTATGAGGAAGAACATACACTTCCGTAAACTCTTCTTCTTGTTGTTGTTAGTTGCAAAGTCATGTCTGACCCATCGCAACCCCATGGACAATGTTCCTCTAGGCCTTCCTGTCCTCTACCATCCTCCGGAATCCATTTAAGCTCATGCTGACTGCTTCAGTGACTCCATCCAGCTACCTTATTCTCTGTCGTCCCTTTCTTCTTTTGCCCTCAATCTTTCCCNGCCCCCCCCCCCCTCCAAGCGATGAGCCATGAAGCCGCCTGGCAGAAGTTCTCTGCGGCAGCCCTTCTCTGGCAGCTGCCGGCGCCCTCCTCGCTCCTCTAACGCTGCCTTCTCAGCCTGCCTGGCGCGGCGGCTGCCTCCGCTCGGCTCCTTCCGCCGTTTCCTTTTGGGGCTCCTGCTGCTCTGCTGGGGACGCCCGGAGAGCTGGGGGGTCATTGCGGACACCGGTGAGTGCGAGGTGCCGGGGGGGGGGGAGGAATGGCCTGGAATCTCCCCTTCTTCCTCCGCAGTGTGTGATGCTTGGGAAGTCAACCCTCTTCTCCTTCTATCCGCTGCCTTTGGAGTTGCATGCCAATGCAGATAAATAGCAAAGCCCCTTATCTAGTTATTTCCCCTTTCCCGGTGTCCCATTTGGATGCCCCCCTCCCCATTTCCCCTGTCATGCTAGTTTCCTCTGCTCCTTACAGCACCCCGTCTTTTGCTCCCTGGGGTGAGAAGCTTTCGTGCTCTTTCACCGCCCATAAGTATGTGCACCCACCAGCACATAGCTTCATTGGCAGGTTTCTATCCCGAGGAAAAAGCATGTTGTTGGATCATCTGCAGCCAATTGTTAGTCGCGACTGCAACTGAATTACTTCTCTCTTTTCCTTCCTGCTTTTGGAAAAGGAAGAGAGAGAGGGGGGGGAGGGAGGGAGGGAGGGAGGGAGGGAGGGAGAGAGAGAGAGAGAGAGAGAGAGAGAGAGAGAGAGAGAGAGAAACTTCCTATTCTCATGTTGAAGATTCCTTATTGGTGTGTGTGTGTGTGTGTGTTGCAAACTCGGGCATATGATGATGATGGGCAAGATGTAATCTCAAAAGGTGCTGATGCAGCAAAAATGTTCTTGGCAGGTTGTCAGGATGCTCATTTTTGTCCGTGGATCTTATTTAAGGAAGTCCCTGAAGCAGAGTAAGTGGGGGGTTTCTGTTTAGGGAAAGATATTTAGAATTGAGTTGAGAACGCGTACATAATCCACGAATGGAAAGAAAGAACTCCCTGTGAAGAGAACTCTTAAGCATGAAGACATATGTGTTTTCTTCTGCGTGACCTCTAGTCCTTAAATGTTTATTTCGAAAGCAGTCTAACTGGATTTCTTGAGATAATTTTGTAGAATAACTTACTTAGAATTTGCATTCTTCCAGTTGATGTGAGAAGTTGCCCTTATGTAAAGAGAATGGATTGGTTTTTCAATGGACGCATGGATTCCATTTGTGAGAAGTTTGCAGATTCACAGATTTTGATCAATATTTTTGAGGGAAACGGATGAGAGTCATGGTTTTGGGGATCTCATTAAAAGAGCTTCCCTTCTGAAAAAGGATTTTTTTAAAAACATTTAGATTATTATGTAAAATACATTGTATTAAATGCCCAATATTTTCTGTCACTCCTTCTGCAGTACTGCAATACTTCGCATTGCTTTCCTAAATACTGTACTAGGGAATATTTTAATAAGGCATGTTGGAATCATTGGAATGATATTATCCTCTTGAAGGGAAATTAACAGAATTTAAAGCAGCCTATATAACGTGTTTGGTTCCTCTGTGGTTTAATGTAAACCTATCTGTCTTCCCTAGCTATCCATTGGAACGAAACTTTGGAAAAGCCAGAAACTATACTAGCAAATGAGGACACTGCATTTCAACAGACTAACGATAGTAGTAGCAAAAATAACAATTACAGCAGTGCATTCCAAAAAGAAATCACATTGCCTTCAAGACTTATTTATTATTTGAACAAAGACTCTGAAAGTCCCTACCATATTTTGGATACTAGGACAAGATACCAGCAAAAACACAGTAAGGTAAGAATTTTTTTTTAAAAAAGGAACATCCAGTACAGTAGCTCAAAATAGTCCTGTCCCTTGAGGGATTGTCTTACTTTAAGAATGTCTATTCAGCAGATTGGCTAATACCTCTGTAATATTATTGCTGCATTGGCTTTAGGTGCCAGGAATGGCTGTCCGTTAATTGTGAAGCTTAGTATCAGTATGGTGGATAAAACAAAGGAATATAACCCGAATTTCTATTATATTTAGAAGATTAGATTTTTCTCTCTCTTCATTTTAAGCAACTTACTTGAACTAGAGAAAGGGCATGGTGAAAACTAAATAATATCTTTCACATGACAGGCATGGGAGATCTTGATGTGTTATGGATCCAAATTCTTTATCTTTAGTACCAGTAGATGTGTATATGTACATGTACACGTACACACACACACACACACACACACACACACACACCATCTTCATATAGCTAAAGTCATGGCTAGACTATATTTAAAACAATGAAACTTACATGTGTGTTATTGCTTCAATCATGTTTAAATGATTAACCTTAGGTGTATCAAGACCATATATATATATATAT